TCGGTACTCTCGATACTCTCGGTACTCTCGGTACTCTCGGTACTCTCGATACTCTCGGTACTCTCGATACTCTCGGTACTCTCGATACTCTCGGTACTCTCGGTACTCTCGGTACTCTCGATACTCTCGGTACTCTCGGTACTCTCGGTACTCTCGGTACTCTCGGTACTCTCGGTACTCTCGGTACTCTCGGTACTCTCGGTACTCTCGGTACTCTCGGTACTCTCGATACTCTCGGTACTCTCGGTACTCTCGGTACTCTCGGTACTCTCGGTACTCTCGGTACTCTCGATACTCTCGGTACTCTCGGTACTCTCGGTACTCTCGGTACTCCCGGTACTCTCTGTCCAGTCTGCGGCCACCTTCTGCATTCATTCACTTATCATCCTTCCTATTTCCACCTTGCGCCCCCGCCCCTTTCCCCTCGCTAGCTGCTGGATCTGCTCAAGGACCATGGGTGCACGGCCACCTTCTTCCTGATTGGAACAAACATTGACAGATACCCGCAAATAGTGGACCGCATGCACGCTGAAGGTGAGAGAGGGGTCTGATGCATGTCAAAGGTTAGAGGGGGGTTGCATGCACGCTGAAGGGAGAGAATGGGGGTTTCATGCATGCGGTGACTGTGAACATGTGGCTTGCAATTGAATAAACAGACGCTGCATGTATATGACCTCTTTGTAGACCTGCAACCGCCGATCCCATTCCGTCGCACCCCTTGCGTGCGCTTATGCTTATTGTTGTCAGGCCACGAGGTGGGAAACCACATGACGGAAGACGCCCCCAGCTGGCGGTTAGGCCTCACGCAACCCATGCAATACTTGCCTTTGATTCCCATCCCACCACCCACCACACACCCACCAGGCCACGAGGTGGGCAACCACGTGACAGAAGACGCCCCCAGCTGGCGACTGCCCCCACACGAGCTTGCCCACTCGCCCCAAGTGTGTGTGTCAGTCCTCTCGCTCCCTCCCACACGCACACCAGGTCACAAGGTGGGCAATCACATGACAGAAGACGCCCCCATCTGGGGATTGCCCCCACACGAGTTTGCCCACTCGCCCCAAGTGTGTGTGTGTGTCCTCTCGCTCCCTCGCTCACGCTCACACCCACCAGGCCACGAGGTGGGCAACCACATGACCGAAGACGCCCCCAGCTGGCGACTACCTCCGAATGAGTTTGAGTCGTCTCTGCTGGCGGTGGACGCCAAGCTGCACCGCTACTTCCGGAGGGACGCCGGGGGAAATCCAGTCAAGTGGTTCAGACCGGTCAGTCAACCTCTTGAGTGTGCCTGATGCCCCACCTTGTTCTTCTGAGCCTGTTTGTTGCTCTTGAGTCTACCACGCCCGATTTGATTCGTCTCTGCTGGCGTGGCGGTGGACGCCAAGCTGCACCGCTACTTCCGGAGGGACGCGGGGGCAACCCTGTCAAGTGGTTCAGACGGTGGGTTGGGTCAATGCTCCCCGCTTTCTGTCGGCATGGCATGGCACCCTGTTAGAGTCATCACTGCCGCCGGCGGTGGATGCCAAACTGCACTGCAACTATAGGAGGCATGCTGAGGGAAACCCTGTCAGGCTTGAGCATAAACCCGACCCGACCCGACCCGACCCGACTTTGGCCCTACCCGATGTGGGGTTCGGGTCGGGTCGGGTCGGGTCAAGTCGGGTCGGAGTTCAGGAAATGTCAACCCGACCTGGGTTTAATAGGTCGGGTACTACCTGACCCGATGTCGGGTCGGGTCGGGTCGGGTTGGCTTAGGGGCAGGGACGGGTAATAAGCCGACCCGACGGGTCGGGTTTTGTCGGTCGGGTCGGGTCGGGTCGACCCTTGGCGAATGTCGAGCCGACCCGTCAAAAAGTCGGGTTTGGGTGGGGTTACCCGACCCGACCCGTTGCTCAAGCCTACCTGTCAGTGGTGCCATCCTCTCTCTCTTCTCCCCCCCATCCTCCCTCTCTTCCCCCCCCAGGGCCATGGGTGGTACACCAAGAGAACGCGCAGCTCGCACAGCGCCACAGCTGTCTCACAGCCACCTCAACCATTCGTACAACTTCTGTGCTGTGCACACAACCCCAACTTCTTCCCCCGCCCCCAGGGCCATGGGTGGTACACCAAGAGGATGCGGCAGCGGGCACAGCGCCACAGCTGTTTCACAGCCATCTGTTTCAGTGCTCTTAACCGTTCACACTACTTCTCTGCACACAACCCCAATCGCTCCTCCCAGGGCCATGGGTGGTACACCAAGAGGATGCGGCAGCGGGCCACAGCGCCACGGCTGTTTCACAGCCATCTGTTTCAGTGCTCTTAACCGTTCACACTACTTCTCTGCACACAACCCCAATCTCTCCTCCCAGGGCCATGGGTGGTACACCAAGAGATGCGCCAGCTGGCACAGCGCCACGGCTACAACGTGGCTCTGGGCTCCGTCTTCCCCGTGGACCCCCTCTTTAAGGACAGCAGCCGCCCGCTTGCAACATACTGTCTGTGGAAGGTAAGATGCGGCGCTGTTTTGAGGCGCCTCAAGCCCCGGCGACAACGTGGCTCTGGCTCCGTCTTCCCCGTGGACCCCCTCTGTCAAGGACAGCAGCCGCCCACTTGCAACCCACTGCCTGTGGAAGGTACAATGCGGCTCTGTGCTGAGGCAGGCACCTCAAGCCACGGCTTGGCAAACCCACTGCCTGTGGAAGGTACGATGCGGCAGGTTGGGTGAGATTTTGAGGCGCCTCAATTCCCCGCTACAACGTGGCTCTGGGCTCGGTCTTCCCCATGGCCCCCCTCAAACAAGGACAGCAGCCGCCCCTCGCCACCTACTGTCTCTGGACGGTCCAGTGATGGGTGGTAGGGGGGGCATGGGGAGGGGAGGGGAAGGGGGTGAATGGGGGAGGGGAGGGAAGGGGTGAATGGGGGAGGGGAGGGGAAGGGGTGCATGGGGAGGGGATGTCGTTTGCTGCGCCGTGTCTTCCATTGTCGCCCCGTCGTCCCCACCATGGTCGCCCTCTTTAAGGACAGCAGCCGCCCCTGGCAGCCTACTGTCTCTGGACGGGACAGAGATGCGCGGAATGGGGAGAAGGGGGGTGGGGGTGGGGGGAGGTCTTTTGCTGCTCGGTCGCCCTCCTTATGGACAGCAGCCATCCTGTCGTCCCCATCATCCCCATCATCCCCATCATCCGCATCATCCCCATCATCGCATCATCCGCATCATCCGCATCATCCGCATCAGCTGCATCATCCGCATCATCCGCATCATCCCCATCATCCGCATCATCCGCATCATCCCCATCATCCGCATCATCCGCATCATCCCCATCATCCCCATCCCTGCCCTTCTGCAAGCAGATCTACCCAGGCGCCATCATCATCCCGCATGACCGCCCGCAGCAGATGGCTTGTGAGTCGACTCAGATGTCATCTCCGTTTCCACCTCCCCTTCCTTCTCTCCGCGCAGATCTACCCAGGCGCCATCATCATCCTGCATGACCGCCCGCAGCAAGGCGCAAGATGACTGGTGAGTTGACTCAAATGTCATCTCCACCTCCACCTCCACCTCCCCTTCCCTCCCCTTCCCTTCCCTTCTCCCCGCAGATCTACCCAGGCGCCATCATCATCCTGCATGACCGCCCGCAGCAAGGCACCCAAACAGTAGAGGTGAGGGTGCAGTCTCCCTGCTTCCGACTTGACTTAAAAGCGGAATAAAAAAACAAACCGTAGATGTGAGGGGGGAGTGACTCAAAACACAAACTCTGTGATTCGTCCCTCAGGGGGTGTGGTAGAGGTGAGCGAATTCAGCCCAGCTGTTGGGACCAGACTATCTGTGCTGCAGCTCTTTGCTGTTTGCTTTTTTTTTAGGCGCCTCAAAAACAGCTCTTTGGTATGGTATGCTCCTTGGTACGGTATGCTCTTTGGTGCGGTATGCTCCTTGGTACGGTATGCTCCTTGGTACGGATGCTCCTTGTCACGCTTTTGCGTTGTCACGCATCAATTGTCATTGGTCGTCATTCTAACTTAGGTCCACACACTGTTGCTCACTCCGTTGCTCACTCCGTTGCCCCCTCTGCTGCTCACTCTGCTGCTGACTCTGCTGTTCACTCTGGTGCTCACTACTCATTCCTCGCAGATTCTCCGCATGATGCTCCCAGAGCTCAGACGCCAGGGTATCAAGTGGTCTCCCTCTCTCACCTCGTGAGGGGGCTCCACTCCCACCCCCACACTCTCCACTCCCACCCCTCCGCTCCCTCGACTCACTCCGAATCATCTGCGCCCGACTCCCCGCAGTCTTCTTCCCATCCTATCCCTGTCAACCACGCCGTTTCCTCTCCCGCTCTATGTCAGTAGATCGGTCAGAAGAGGAAAAACAATTGGTACATAAAAAGAGGGATTAGGGTGACTCGAACTTTTAATCATTTATGGCTCGTACTTCCTGATGTGGATGAGCTATGCTACTTCTAATATTAATGTACCATTCTTCGTTCTATTCTTATTTGCTGCACCAGCAAGTACAGTGAAATACCATGTTGCAGCATGTGACTGTACTACCACTTACACAACCATGACGTCATCGACACTCAAACGGGGTGTATGGATCGCTTCAAAGGGGGGAGGTTCCTCTGGAGGCCGTTGCGCCTCCAGACGACACAGCACGCGGCGACACAGGCAAAGCCGAATCGCAGCACCCATTTCCCGAGGGTGTGCGCTGTGCGATGCCCAACTTTGGGAATGCCGCCGGCTGGCCGACGGACGGACGGCTGCAGCTCTGGGAAAACCAATCTGGGAGAGAGAGTAGCCGACTTCACGCCTCCATAACCCGAACGATCTCATCCAACCGTAATTCACCGTATATGAGCCACCCAGTTTGCCGAGTTGACCAGTCCGAGCCAAGTGAGTCCGTATCGATGCTGGGAAGGCAATCCCATTAGCCCAACCACCACCATCAGCCCAGCATGAAGGCATCATAGTGAGTGTCTTGTGAGTGATTTCCGGTCTACCTACCTAATTATTTTTCCCACCCTCCGGTTCCGTTCTGTCCGCCATACCAACTGCAAGCTGTTCCTCCTTCCTTCTGGTGCTGTAAATATTAGTGGCTGCTGCTGGTGGTGACTGAAACGCAGCCACGGCATACACGTGTCATGCTTGGCGTCTGGCCACCGGCACCCCTCGGAACCCCCCTCCAGCTGCTGTACCTGCAATGTGTGACACTATAAGGAGCGATTCGATCCAGTGCTCTTGTTCGACAGTAGCATCTCACGCCGTCGTTGCTCCTTTAATCCACCGACAACTTGGCACTGAGTCGAACAGGCTAGATGGTTGCACGAGCGCTTTTCACTATTCACCGCAAACAGATCTCTAGCTGGGATCTAGTAAACACGAGTCAGCTCTTACTTCCAAGCACTCCGTCTAGTCAACTACAAGCTGTCAGAGCAACGGCTTACCGACGAGACAGTATAACTAGTCGGCATTCCAATAGAAGTAGTAAACCTAGCAGGCCTTATTGAACCTAGCAGGCCTTATTGACATGCTTCGCACTCGTCGCTTCCTTCAGCGAGCGACGGGTTAAGACGATCGTCGTTCTTAGCCTCCAAGCCGTATGGCAGATTCCTCCCCGGGGATCGTCGTCTCGGGTTTACTAGCTATAGCACTTTCGGTTCTTCTCTTTTCGGTTCTCACACACCCGGTTAACGCAGCAGACCACACGGCTAAAGCCCACGTGATAAAGGATCATTCTGCTACAAGCCAGATCACTACAGTTCCGTCGGATCTGGATTCGTCTCACAGTCGGCCTGTGGCTCGGTCTATACGAACAAAGCGACTAAGGGCTGTTGCGGCACGGGAAAAGGCGTGGAGAAATCGAGTTCCAGGGTCTGCTTCTGACTCGACTCAAATACGGGAATCGGCATGGCGAAAGCGAGTTCTCACGTCCGAGAGAGAGCCACCGCTTGGGAGCTTGCGCCATGCGTGGCAGCGAGTTCTGACGTCAGCACAGCGCAAAGCGAGCAACCCGTTCAAGCTCAAGGTCCGTCCCCCCCCCCCCCCCCCCCCCACAACACACCTATGCACAGCCAACCAGTGCACAACACTCCCGTGTCTTGCCTATTCCTTCCTCCTCGCTTGCGTTTTCCTTGTTCCCGCTCTCTCGCTCCCCCACGTCACGCGGGTGCTCTCGCGCACCGCGTTCATCTATAACCCCAACCCGTACAACCGTGCGCTCCTCTGAGTCGTTCTCTTTTTGAGGCGCCTCAAAAATAGACTCATCACGCAGGGTGCTCTCGCTCACCGCGTTCATCTATAACCCCAACCCGTACAACCGTGCGCTCCTCTGAGTCGTTCTCTCTCCTCCCCCGTCTCCCCCTCTCCTCCCTCGTCTCCTCCCCTCGCTCTCCTCCCCTCTCCCCCTCGCAGCAGCCAGAGCTGACGATTGACATGGTAGCCTAGTCGGTGAAGACCGCGCGGCTGGGCGGGCACCCGCTGAGCGGCTTCGAGGAGCGCGTCACGAGCTAGCTCACGCTCAACGCGGTCATTCATGACCCCAACGCTCACAGGCGTGCTCTCAAAGTCATCTCTACTCTCCCCTCTCCCCTCCCCCCTCTCCCCACTCCCCTCCCCCTCTCCCTCTCCCCCACCCCTCCCCCTCCCTCCCCCCCTCCCCCACTCCCCTCCCCCCTCTCCTCTCCCCCACTCCCCTCCCCCTCTCCCCTCTCCCCCACTCCCTCCCCCTCTCCCCTCTCCCCACTCCCCTCCCCCTCTACCCTCTCCCCCAATCCCCTGGCTCGCAGCAACCGGAGTTGAAGATAGAAACGGTAGACTGGTCGGTGAAGCACGCGCGGCTGGGCGGCGACCCGCTGAACGGCTTCGATGTGTTCGTGACGGGCGTGCTCACGTTCAACGCGCTCATCTACAACCCCAACCCGTACGGGCTCAAGATCAACGCCATCTACGTCCACGCGGAGTACAACGGCACATTCCTGGGCAACTCCAAGGTGCGTT